GAGGGGGGGGGCGCAGGGGGGAGTGAGCGAGCAGCTGCGTGGTGTTTAGTTGCTGGCTGGGGTTAAACCACAACAAACTTAACTAACATTGGCTAAAGCCACTTTTACTTCTGCCTTTTGAAATGCCAATTGTAATAGTGTTAACTGCAATACTGCATAGTGTAAGTATACAAGCCATGGTTACCTTACAGTTCTTCCACCAATACTTTCTTTTCAGCTTGGCTGCACTGGTCTCAAACTGGGAAGCTCCTGCTTGCAGTGCATCAGCACGGTCATCCAACTCTGACAGCTTCTGATCTCGCTCCAATACCTTGTCCACATTCACTCTCATGATGTCAACAACCTACATCAGTTTAATGCTTACAGTAAGTTATCAGTTTATCACCCGCTGTGGAACTTAATTGCAGGCAACAGATAGCAACACATGGTACTCTTAATGTTCTCCTCTCAGAAGTAGGAGCTATTGCCTTTTAGTATATCCAGTCATAAGCTTCAACAAAACAGTGAAATTCACCTGTGGCTGGAAGCCCCTAATACCTACTTTAAAATGTCAGCAGTGCCAGTTGTGCTGGCGTTCCCTTAAACCTGGGAAATAATTTCTGACTCGCTTCAGAAGGATTTGAGGCATATAAACATGATAGTCAACCGTGTGTCAAAAAATACTGTCAGTAGCCAGCCTGGCTTTTGGACTCCCCATAAATCTGGACATGTCATATTTGGTGGTCAGCCTTCATTGCTACTGATGAGAGAAAAGCTCGTTCTCTGTAAGAACAAAGGTTTTTATCTTTACTTATGCCAAATCCTCAAGCACTGACTTTGCAGCTAATGTTTGGACACTGGTAACCTCTCTCTACTTCCCTACTCCAGCTGAATGGATTTTTTTTTTTTTTAACCTTTGCAAGAGTTAAGATGACACAAGTATAATAAAGCAAGCTGAATGATACTAGGCTTCCCCTTCATTATATGAAGGGGAAACTGCTTTGGCCAAAATATCCCTTCTAGTTATACAGGTTTCCTGAAGGAAAATGATTACACTGCTATCAGACTAGACTTTTACCTCATCTACTTGGTGTTGAGTCTGCTGAAGACGACGATTACTGCCAGCAGCCACATTTGAGCTTCCAGGAATACTGGCTGACCTGCAGTAAAGAAAGTCATCATTATTCTGTTTAGCTTTTGATAAGTTGTGGTTTTGGTTTTAAGTGGATATGCTTAGACTACACAAGTTATTCAACGTTCCTGAAAACAGGGCACTTGAATCCTTGGAATAAATACGGGGCAGTTTCCTATGAGAGGAGTGAAGTTTTAACAGCTGACAATAGGTGTAAGTCATGCAGCGTCCCAACATCTTGCCAACGAATTGCTTGACGTGCTAAAAGACAGCAGTGGCTTGCCAACAGTATAGTTTACAATAAGGCATATGACAACTCCTACAATGGTTCACAGGGCTCAAACATTCAAGAGTTTGGGCTCAGGGGTGTTCTTGTTTTCCAGTATGAACACAAATACTAAGTTTCAAGCTACAGTAGTTTACAAAAAATTAAATACAGAAACTTTATGGTTATTCTAACTATGTGCTCTTCCAGTGGTTGCCTCTGTCTATTCTTTTGGAACAGTTGACATGGAGCAAGAGAAAGCATAAGAAGCAAAAAGTATTCAACATATACAACAATTTACATCTGGTCAGCTTTGACTTCATAACCTCAGGCAGTTGAATTCCTTTTACCAGCTGCAACACCCTACATCTTTGTAATGGATGCAAGAGCCTCTGTACATACTTCTCATATCCTTTTCACTGCTTTACCAAGCTTTTGTTGCTTATCTCTAGAACTATCTGTACTCAATTTGCTTTTTCATGTTTTCATTTCTCCTGCATCAGAAGCACGTACTGTTTAGTGCATCCTGATACTTGAGAGCTTTATCAGAGTATTGGCTGTATTTACACATTTGCACGCTGAGTTCTAATTTACATTTGGCAAGAACAAATGTATACATGCACAATGAGCAAACCAGGAAGCCTGTGACACGGCTCAAGAGCAAGCCACTTATAATACAACATAACTGCTCCTCTGTTTTGGCACTTAAGTCGCCCTTTCGTGCTGTTTCACCGCTAGTCCCAGACTGAAGAGTCTCGAAAGTGAAAGCTCCCCCTGAGGGCGGAGGTTCCAGACACAACAAACCAGTCACCAGAAAGCACTCTCTCGGTGCTCCGGCTACGTGGGCAGCGCTTTCAGAGAGAGGCCTGGGGCCGGCAGAACTCCGCCTAGATTACCACAGAGCCGCCAGGACAGGACAGC